CCAATCAAGGAAACATCTGATAAAAGTAGTCACGTATTCCAAAACAGAGAATCCCTCAGCAGCCATTTTAAAGCAAACCTTAAAATTTAGGCAAGGGGGATAAAGGGTACCAAGAGTATCTGAAATCTCACGTCAATACAAGTGTAAACTTTTAAAAAAAAGGATGTGATTTCAGCCACTGGTATACCTAATGTAAGGGATCAGCACTTCTTTTTATTCTTATGGCTTATAGATCACAAAATGCTACTTCCATACAAGGCTGACAAAGAGTTCATGTCCAGAAAGTGTAACAGAGCATCAAAATATTGCAAGCCAGTTAGTTCCTGGAAGGTTCTGAACATAAATCTTCTGTTTTTATAAACAAACGTATGTTAGCAAACTCCAAGCTGGAAGCAGTACATTTTTCAGATTCCCTCTTTTTAATGAAACAAACAAGCTATTGTAACTGTTAAGTTGCTAACTTACAGGAAGTTACATTTGGGGATAAAATAAAATGCAACTTAGTCATATTTAATTATAAAATCACACTCAGTTCTAGTAACATACAAGCTTTCTCACATTCTCACAAATCCATCATAACAGAAACAAGAAGAAAAACAGGCACCATGGCATCTTCTTTACCACACTTTTTACCTTTATTTCTGCAAATTTGAGTATTAATTAATCAACCTCACAAAGTATGCACAACACTGCCATAAATCTGGAATATTATATTCTATAGGCTTAAAATTTCTTTTGCAACCACATTACGTCATCTTAGCTTAACATTGTACAAACACATTCAAAATCAAACTCCTCGAAATATCTTAGCACTTTTTATTTAGTCAAAATCCATTCCAGCCCAACACAATAGCATCACAAGGTTTATTACCCTGCTGTCTGATTAGTGGAAGAAACCCACAAACACCATCCATGTCAAAAATAAACCACTCTTGGGGCCTGCACTGGACATCATAGTAACTAGCCCTCTAGGACTTTGTCTTTTAAACCTGCATTCCTTAAAACAAACAAACAAACAAACAAACAAACAAACAAACAAACAAACAAAAACACCCACAGAAAATTATTAAAACTAAAACCTTTATATGAGGACAATGATCTGTGGAAAAGCCACCCTCCACAAAACAGAACCACAACAAAAAAAAAAAGAAACATGAATAAGCAGGTAATGATTTTCTTAGAAAAAGAATTTAACCATGTTTAACCTTGTTTCTTTTCAGTGTATATTTAGCTGGTTAGAACGTTTCTCAAAAAATTTAAAGATATCTGAATCAGTTCTACTGACAGTTTTCCTGTTTTATTATTGATACGTGTGGACACAATACAGAGGATATTAAATCAGCTGGAAAAATCATATGTATATTAAGTGTACTATATAAAGACAAAAGAGAGAACGTTTTGCCTACAGAGCATCACATATACTAAGGATAGCTTTCTTACACAAGATAATACACATTACTCATTTACTGTAAAATCCAAGCACTCAGAGAGTGAGTGTGGAAATCAAGCATGATGCTACTCTTTTGCTACTTCTTGAGTACCTAAGTTACATATATCTATTTCTCCCCAGATTTTATATGAGGAAAAATGCTGACATGAATTACCTATGACAAAAAAAAAAAAAGCCATCCTTAACAGAAAAATCCTTGGCTTCTACAAGAGCCATGGAGGAGATTCTTCGTTTGCAACACACATCTCAAAAATCGAGGTCTTTTTCTGACAAAAAGTCTCCTACATTTACATGCACAAAGTATAGCTCACGTTGGGATTGCTTTTTGTCTCTTCATGAGTTTTACGGGTTTTGAATTTAAATAAAACTTGTTAATTTTTTGCTAAATTCATCCATAGTCTGTGTTTTATGCAGCTACTGTTACTATCTACATCTAGACACTGAAACTGTTTTTCTTCATTTATGGGCCAACATCATTATTTCATTGACCATCAAACAGCGTATTTGTTGATTTAGAGAGAACATTTTATCATACGGGACTGCTTTATTTCATCTGACAGTAAGCCAATAGTAACAACTGAATTTCCCAAGTTAGTCATAATACTCTGAGGGATTTCTTTTGTTTGAACAGTTAATCCCTAGGACAACACAAATTAAAAAAACAATGTGGACACTGTTTTACTAATCATTTTGGCACCCCCGTTATCACATTTATCTTTGTTTACCCATCATGTTGTTTTCTGGTCAGCAAATGTACAGTTTTCACTTTTAAGTATGAAATTCAGCTTTAAACATGAAACATTCAGACACTGTTCTTATATAGGTCAGTAGTAGTTTATAATAAATACATGTGGAAGATGAGCTCATGTTAAGCTTTTAATTCCAGTATGATTACCTTACATTTCTGAAATGGAGCAATTATAAAGACAAGGCACACTTACACAACATTTTAACACTACTACTTCCAAAATAAATTTCTTTAAAGATACCATATTGTGTTTAAAACGCCCTTCCTATTGCCTTTCACAACCCATTAAAGAATATAAAGTAAAAGAGGAGACACAAGCAAACACGTTAACAATCCAAAGAATCACTGTGAGATGTTTCAGCACTAGCCCACAGATCAAAATTCATGGTGCAAGAACAGTGATGTTTGCCACAGAACCACAGCTTGTCTTCCCCAGTGCTGCGCCCCTTCTCCCATTAATATTTGGGATTTTACTTGGCAGGAGGGTCTGTTAGGGCTCTGTGACACTTACATGCTCCTAAAGGATCTTTTTTTTCCAAAGTATTTGGAGTTTTAACTGCTTATACGGTAGTCAAAGGGCTTTCAATCTCCCCTGCTTTGGTTCTTCTAATTATTTTTCTTGTAATTATCCCTAATTATGGCACTGGAACCATACAAACCATGCAGTTTCTTTCAGTGGAACAAAGCCACAGCATACTTTCTCCAAAAGCCTGCAAAACTACAATTATCTCCCAACTAAAGGTAATCCTGCAATGATCCCCACCGAACTTCCCCCACAGACTCCAACCAGACTCCAAGATCACTCCCATACCATCCTTCACGTTCAAGTCAAGTCAAAGCTAGGTTTTGACCCTTTCCAAACACATCCAAAACACACAAGGGAAAGAAACCGCTTCTTGGTCCAGGTGCAGGAGCAAACACTCCTGAGGAACACAGCTGATTAGGATTTCTTCATAGAATATGGATTAAAAAAAAAAAAAAAATCTAATTCATCTGAATCATCTCCTCCCCATCCATCCCCCAAAGTGCAAAGAAACATATTGAGTTTGATATTTGAGTTGGAGTTTTTTTAGGATAAATTCCTTAGATCTAGAATGGCATTTCAGGAGAGAAAAAAATGCAGCATCTACTCTGAATATGCTCATATGCACTTCTCTGTGGAGTGTAATAGAGCCACTTTCTGTTTGGTGGTCTGCCAGGTTTGAAGGACAGAAAGCTGTTCCACATCCCAAATTAATGCCCTAGAGACCAGCTTATACAGCTGGTCTGTCTTGAGGTCAGTGGAAATTTAATTATCTGCACAAAAGTTTAAAAAAAAAAAAAAAGGGAAAAAAAGGAAAAATAACTGTATGGGGTCAAAGAAGGGGGGGGGGAAGACATTTTCACTCCTTTTTCAAACGATGAGGAAGATCATCTCTCCTGTTCCCTCCCTTATTTTAGACTGCAATGACAGGGAGGGAAGGGGAATTACTGGCAGATTTGTTATAATATTATTTTAAGAAAAACAGTGTAAATGATAGAACTAGCTTTCAGATACATAACTGAGGAAATAAACTATTTTTTTTTTTCCACAGCTACTAATGCCAACCACTGTTTCAAGTATCTGGTGTAAAGGACTATAATTTCCTTTCAATTTAGGTAGCAAAGCCATGTTCATTTTACTCTGCAACGCAAGGATTAAACATATGTGAAAAATTTGTGCCTCTTTCAAGTGTTGTAACTAGTGACAGTGCTTCAGAACACAAAATTCTTGTTCTTACAGTGAATATACAGGTCACAACCTACATGCTGGAGGAAAAGAAAGTTCAGTTCGAAGTATTTTTAATTGCTACATTCAAAATATTACTATATTTAAAAAAATAAAGATTAGTTATAAAGGAACAGTAAGTCTGCAATATGAAGATCAGAAAGCAAGGTGACAGACATACAAACATTGTTTAATATTTAGAATATGCCTACCCTATACAGGAGTATATGCAGAGCTACCAACAATTTCTGAGCCATATTAACGGAGGTACCAAAAGCAGTCTGGTTTTGGTAGCTGTTAGCGAAAAGCAGCAGGATTTGTCAGCTTAGGAAGAGTACTACTACATTAATGCACCTATAATGCTTGTGAAATTCTGCCTTGTTCAGTATCATGGATCACACAGATGCAGCTGTGTATGTATTTTCCTACTGATTAAAATCCACCTGAATTCCAGCTGAGCCTAGTGTTTCCTCTTTGATAGGTGGCTCTGAAGGCCTACGCCTAACCAATAAACACCAGAGGGGACAGATCTGGGTGAAATTATTAAGTATGAATTTAGGCTTTGGGAGAGGCTGGAGAAACTGTGGGCTTATTTAAAACGAACTTTTCCTTTTGGCCTGTTAAATATTATAATTGTAGTAAACCTCAGAATTTTTAAACTTAAACTTCCAACGCTGAAAACCTCCAGTCTCTCCCATGTTTTCAAGAGCTGAACAATACTTCCTTTGTTAAACTATGTCAGCAGACCGGACTCCCTGCTGGTAAGCACAGCAGTGCTAAAATGGTAGCACTTATCATGACACACCAGAAAAGAAGCTACGAAAATCGGAAGCTGTTTCTAAAAAAACCGTTTTGAAATATTTCAATTTTCAAATTTAAAAAAAAATAAATAGAATTATTCACTAAGTAGATTCAGTAGTTTTTCCTTACACAGCCTGGAAAAGGACTTCTGTAGGAATCTAAAAGCACACAAAACTTGTTGAGCAACTACCAGTCCATGACACAAAAGGCAGAAACAGAAACACTGATGTACACAGGCACAGAGCTTGCAATACCTTCATATTAGATGCCTCAGTTTCCAGTTTTGTTAGGTGATTTGAGTTATCCTCTAGCTCTTGCCGAAGGTTGGAGTTCTCCATCTTTAATGCCTCAACTTGCTTTAACAACTGATCATATGAAGCTGCGGCCATCCTGGGCTACCCTCAGCCCTAAAAAAGTAAGAGAAAATATTAAATATAAAAAAAAAAAAATTCTCTCTCTCTCTCTTTCCCGTTTACCACTCAACTTTCTAAATATTTATCAGTGGGCTTCCTTTTGATACACATGATTAAGCAAATGAAAGAAGTTCATTAACAATTGCATTAAGTATTAGGGGAAGCCAGAATACATGAAAGAAAATCATAGCATCATACAAAAGCATCCTTATTATTTGCATTTCAATTCTAACACTGAGAAACTTTGCAGATAATAGACCATATTTAATCATTTTTGGATAGACAACAAGTACCGTCAACCATATCTAAAAGATGCTGACTGCCTACGTATTTTATGAAACGAAAGATAGTCACAGATGTTCAAAGTTCCTAGAAATAGCACATGCTAAAGGAGATGTTGTATGAAAGGCAAACAGCAAATACTGAGGAATTTTAACAAAAAAAAAAAAAGGCATCAAATGTAATAGTAATCAAGTCTTTTGTAAAAATACCGTCCAAGACATAAAGATTAAAATAAATATACGTAGAAAATTCCAACACAAGAAGCGGTCATATTGCACAGTAGAATAAAAACATAAAAGGCTATTCTTCATATCAAGATATCGCATATTATTTTGGGTAATACTGTAACACCACCACAATTATTCCTCCATTACAAAGGACAAAGAAACAAATACTCCAATTTAAATTATAATAATCAAATTGTTTCCCACTTTCCAAACCAAAAACCATCAAAGTTGTTCATCTAACAATGTAAGTTAACTAAAACATGGCTAGCCCTATTTGAAGCTCTTTGGAGTTGAAGCCATCAATTTCTTATTCATCAGCCATTCAAGTGAACAAAAGGAAGCCTAGCACTTCATATACACACAAGTTACCCTTCCAATGTTGTTGCAGGAATTTCCTAAGTATTCAGCCTCTAACTCAAAGGAAAAAAATACAAAAAGCTTATGGGACAACATTCCTTTTCATTGTTACTGCAGTACTTTGGAAAAGATGACACAATTAAAAGCTCTTATTTAGCATTTTCTGTGTATCCTCTCACTAAGCCTTCAACCTTACTGCTTGTGTAACTTCTTACGTAATCAACTTTGCTCTTCCAGACGAATCTTAATTGAATCATCCAGCCTACTAAAAAACGGGTAAAATTATTCCAAAAGGTTTTAGCTCCCCAATACAAATTTTGAAAACTGTGTTTAATCTTTCCAAATTTAAACTCAACGAAACGTAAAGAAGAATATACACAATTGAAGACAGGAACAATAACAAAAGTTGTAGTGCATGTTTAGTTTATTTCCTTTTCAACAAGGAAGTCTTCATGCCCTGAGCACCTGTCATCATCAAAGACAGGAGAAGGAAGAAGCCTGCCACTTATGGAATTGTGATTTCCATGACACTACCAATAAGCTGAAGAAAAAAAAAAAATCCCTAACATTTCTTTTTCAAAATTTGGTCATGCTTTACTGGAGACTTCATTTTTAGAGAAATGAAGGCAATCTGAAACATCTACTCTATTCTGTGAACACTGTGCTTTTACCATCAGTCTGTCTCACCTAAAAGGTGAAGACCTGTCAAAGACAGTTGTAACCAAAAGAAAAAAAAAAAAGACAGACTGCTTCTGTTCTATTTCATGTATGTTTTTATTTAATAAGTAATAGTTTCCATTCTTATTAATAAAACCAACAGCTGTAGTTCACATTTCTTTTCGGAACATACACTGCATGGACAATTCTGCACAAGCCCAAGGAAAGGTAGATAGAAGTGGAAACATTTTCACATGAGTTGTCATAAATTAGTATTGTAATATTGACAGAATCTGTTGGTTTCGACGCAAGTATATCACACATTTACTCATTTACATCTAATTTACAGAAGTTGCTGTGCGCCATGTATTTGACATGCATTTTGATTCTAGCTAGAATATCTTTTTCTCCCATTATTTTAATTCATGATTAGTATGAAAGGACAGGTAATGATAAAAAATATCAAGCTTTCCCATTTTCTGTCCACACTAAGGAATTCTCACTCAATGAATTTGGAAGTTAAAACAATTAGCCACATTAACAAGATGCATATGCACAGAGAAGAAAATGGAGAAAACTGAACGAGGGGAGGAGCTACAGCAGAAAGACAGCAACTGCATAGCTCTGGCATTTTAAATGCAAAATAGGCTTAAATGTACTTATGTTTAATGAGTAAGAATCCAGTTTCTGAAGGGGAGGTTTGGTTCGTCTTCTCCCCCTCCTGATCTAAGTTCCTAAGCTTCCTTTTCTGTAGTTTATTTTCATAACATGGAAGTAGGACACCACCACTAAGAGACAGCATTCTGCCTCAGACTAGGAGTCACTTCCTGATTTATTCAAATGTCAAACTTACTCTGTGGGTTTTCAGATTAAAAAAAAAAAAAATTGAGTCAGCTGATTACCACAAGCTGGGTAATCCAAAACATCTTCGTTTTTTTGTTAAATAGATGCCCAAATGGGCAATAAGCGACGGGAAGCATACATCTTATCTTCTGGGAGCATGGCGAGGTTTGGGCAAAGTGTGTTTGCAGTCAGTACATCCACACTGAAAACTGGACTGAAGGCAGCCAGTCTCTCGTTAGCAATACGCTGCGGGCCACCTAGGCACCTGCTTCCAGCCATGCCTGCCGCCCCACTGGCGGAGGCACCTGGACTTCTTGGGGGCATGCAGATGCATACCTACCTCCCTGGCCCTCCAAGGTAATTCTCCTTTTTCCTGCCTGTAAAGGAAGGACTACCCTGTATTTGAGGAGAACAGTAAACTACTTTTTAGAAATAACGGGTCTCACCTACCCCAAGTGCACCAAGGTGTTTGATACAGCGCTCTATGTAGTAACAAGTGATAGGACGAGAGGAAACGGCCTCAAGCTGTGCCAGGGGAAGTTTAGGTTGGATATTAGGAAAAAATTCTTCACCGAAAGGATAGTCAGGCACTGGAACAGGCTGCCCAGGGAAGTGGTTGAGTCTCCATCCCCGGAGGGATAAAAAAACGGGGTAGACATGGTGCTTGAGGACATGGTTTAGTGGTGGACTTGGCAGTGATAGGTTAACGGTTGGGCTCAATGATCTTAAGGGTCTTTTCCAACCTTAACGATTCTATGATTCTATGTAAAACCAGCCACAGTTATAACAGAGATGAGCAGGAAAACTGTACATGGGTGAGGAGTAGCTCAAAGACAACACTGGGCAGCACTGAAAGCCAAACTGTTGGGCTAGAGGCAGGCTGTTAGCAAAGCTCCCCCAAAACTAGTCTGCGACAAGTATTTTTATGTATTTCATTATTGACCTAGGCACAAGAAGTGGCATTAAAACTGGCTCCCATAAATTCAAGAGGCTTCACAAGGTCAGAGGACTACATGTAATACGCAAGAAACTTGATGAACTGAGAAACAGAGCAGTAGAAACAGGGTGGAATTAAGTAGCATTACAACGTAAGGTCACTCGTGTAGGAATCTCGTCACCTGGAAGCAGCGCGCAGGGAGAAGCAACTCGAGCACCTCGGCAGCCAGCCCGCAGAGCACCCGGGCAGTGACAACACGAGACTGGCATGAGGAAAGCAAACACGATCCCTGGAGTTATCCAGTCATTTTACAAAGACATGGGTAAGAGAAGTTAACTTAAGTCGGTGCAGAGAAAGACGCTAAGTACCAGGGGACTAGAAGGTCTCTCATATGAGAAGAGACTTGACGGGCAAGCCTTTGCTGCCTCAGCACAGCAAAGGCTGGAATGATGCAGCTACACTTTGTTATTGGGGAGGGGAAAACACTCAAGAGGGAGAAAAATATTTATGTTAAAACACAACACCGACACAGAACAAACGGGTATAAATTGGCCATTTATCAACGTAGGCTGGCAGCATCCATTAGGAGTTGTAAATTCAGCAA